AAAAAAAAAAAAGGGGGCTGGGTTCCCAAAATCACAGGGAACTGCTTAACTTGAGGTCATATCCACATTAACAGAGTGCAAAATTACATCATCGCGCTTATTTCACGGTACTATCATTACTGCTAGGAAATTTCCTGTAGCTGGGAGGAAGGTGGGGGAGGAGCTGTGGTTTTGCACTTTCCTTTGGGGTTGATAACAATGGAAGCTGCTGTGTGCTGTGGATGAAGGGCCAGAGGTATGCAGTGTCTTCCTACACCTTACCCTGACTGCCCCCACCAAGGACACACCCACTCTCCCAAAGGCCCTCCTAGGATCAGGACTAGCAGGAATGACTGCTTTCTTATAGGATACATACTTCAGGAAGGAAGATCAGATTTTACCAAGAAAAGTTAAGTGCTCCAGGCTACAAATCTGACTCAGACTACAATTACAGGACAGAGAAGCCAATCAGAATTACAAACACCCAGGAGCATGTAAATGGAGGTTACCAATCACACCCCACAGAACTTGTTCTCACACCAGCCACATACCATTTTCGGATTGCCACCAAATCTTAAGGCGGTTTGGAGCAAATGTAGTGACCACATTTTCAATGAGATGGCTGTCAGGATTGAGGGTCTCATGATAAGGATCTTGAGAATTGCATATGAAACATTTCTTGTCCTCCTAAAAACAAATTAGTTTCATGAGTCTGAGAAGCAATTTCATTTAAAAAAAAAAATCAAGCTCACAATACAAAAATCAAACCACCAGCTTTAAGAAAGGTGAATATGCGAAAATTACTTAAACGATTTGCATCACATCTTTCACTTTTAACTTAAGTCTAAAATTCTCCTGAAAATTACTTCATCTCTTCTTGCAAATTCAAGGTCAAGAGTAAAAGAGGGCATTGTCTTCATAAGCTACTAATTAAATCAAAATCAAATTTCTAGGCTTAAATGTTAATCTCAATAAATAAATAGCTAGCGAACCTTACCCTAAAATCAAATGCAGAAGAGGAATTAAGAGTTTTTGCTGACATAAAGCAAACTGGAAAAAAAAAAGAACAATTCACTTGGCCTGATTTCTAAAACCTAAATAAAGCAGAAACCAAGGATTAGGCATAAGTATTTAGAGGTGTTGGGAACCACAGGACAAGATTTCTGACTTTTTGTTTCGCCCAGGCAGCAGACCGGCAGTGGGAGGTGTAGAAGGGAGGGGACACAGGCTAACTTGCAAACATCAGAACATCTGGAAAGGGAGTACTGGGTGTAACGCCATGTTGGGGCCAATTCAAAGAGCCCCCAAATGGACATGAACTAGAATGAAGAGGGACTTTGGCTTTAGAGTAGATTTGAATTTCTTTCATTTTCTTTCTCCCGAAAATGTGAGCTATAGCCCCCCAGGGTAATGGGGTCAAAAGTATTCTCTACTCTTTTTGCACTATATGGTGAATCATAAATAGCTGGCTTAATAGTTCCTTTTCCATATGGAGCTTTGCCTTGTACCTACATTTTCTGGACTGCAGATTATTCTTAAATCTAAAGATGATGGTAGGATTGAAATATAGACTATAGAGACCGATGCATATCTTAAAAATAGAATTTGATACAGGGTGATAAAGGGCCAAAACTGACACTGTGCTTTTTATATTTGTATTTAGTTATTTCCTTCTTCACCAAAGGACTTGGAGGGTGGCAAGATGTATTGAGGAAGAAAGAGAGAGAGACCAGAAGTCAGGGATACATGGGAATTAGGAACAAAAGCTTCCTGCTTCAGTTTTTATACCCACTGTTTAAGATAAGTGCATACCTACTCCCTTTCTTTAGACCTTGCTATCTGTGAAAAGCACTCCACAATTTCATAGCTAATCATATAAACCAGAAAGTCTGGCTCCACTTGCTTTTAAGACAAGTCCAGTTCTTACTCTGGTCAAAGCTGATTTCAGAATTTGGTGATTCATTTACAGGATGTCCTGGCCTCTGAAGTAAATGTTTGCATAACAGTTTAGGTAAAATTGAAATGCTAATATTAGAAATGGTAACATCAACTGCCTTCATTAACTTGTAGTCAAGGAAACTAGTACTGAAGAACAATTACCAGAACTCAAAAAAAAAAAAAGTTTAATTATAGCCTCCCTTCTAATCAGGAGGAAGCAGTCTAGACATCTCTGTATAAACCTGGAAGCAAATGAGTGGAATCCACTTCACCACATTCCTTCATTTTAATTTATCAGGTCTCCAGAATGGGCTTTCTGCTTCCTAAGAGTGACTCCATGGTGAGGCATCTGCCGGGCAGGATACTGTCCTCCTGCCTGAAGGCAGTTACAAAGGTGGGTGGGCTGGTCAGGCTGGGAGCAGTTAGCTGGGAGCTTGTGCATGCTCTCACTAACACCTTTGGCTTTTGTTAGAGGTCAGAGATGCTGGACTTCATTTTTAAAAATCAAGGAGAAGGGCTGTGACTCTGCATAGTTTATACTTTGTGATTTCTCTTAAATTAGCTCTGACTGTACAAATATGACCTCTAAAATCTCAAATCCGGGTCCACTTTTAGAAGTATGTAACACCCTGAAATTTCATTTTGGTCTTCCACTATCAAGGTACCACAGCAACCAGAGCATTTGGAAAAAGGAAACATCTGATCACCATATTTAATGGAGGTGAATGAACAGCACCAAGCCAGGAGAGAAAAACAGTTCTGTAATTGGATCACCTTGCAAAGCGTCAGTGCTTGGAACATCCTTATACTCAAGTGAAAGATGCGGGAAAACCCAAGGCCACTGTTCAGTATATAAAGAAGAGGATAAACCATCTTTAGCACACTTCCAGAGAAGACAGATTTAACCACCACTATCCAGGACTTTCAGAGTTCCTGGGTTGGGAGCGGGTCACAGGACAGGGGGCAGGGCACAGGACAGAGACCAGGACTGTCTGCTGTCCTGTCTTTCCATGCTGATGGTGGTGGCTGGAGGCGGCAGGAAATATTTGGCGGAGGCAACTGTGCAAACTGACATGGGGGCTACAGAATGCACTACCAACCTAATCCCAGGACTCCCCGGCTGGCTGCGCTTCCCATTTGGATTGCTGCCAGGATGCGGAGTCCCCTGGGCCTGCCCCTTAGGTCTGGAGCAGGGTGTATGTGTGTGGTGGGCGGGAAGGCAGCGGGTTCACCAGGGTGTCAGTGCTCACCTGCAGGTGGCTGACAATACAGTAGGGCTCCGGCTTGTGCAGTCCACACGTCGAGGTCACTGAGAGTTTCCGAGCTCGGCCGATGAGAAGGTCGCCGGTGGCAGGGTAACAGCTGCCTTCCGCACAGCCATAGCTGAATTCAGGCTCCTCAGCGCTCACTTGCGTTTCGCACAGGACTACCGGAGAGGCAAACGACAAGGTTGTGGGGAGAGAGGAGGCAGGGTACAGGCCCAAGTGAAAGGAATAAGCATGAGGTGGAAGAGGATTCAGAAGAAAGCAGAATACTAGAAAAGACAGGCCAGGATGGCAGAGACGTGGAGAGGACTCGGAAACAAACCCAGACGCGTCATCAGGTTTGATCAGCAGCCAATTGAACGCCTCACTCCTGGGAAACCCACCCAACACTGGCTCACGTCCTCATCTGCCCCAGGGGAGCAGCCCCCACCGCAAAAGGTGGAGATGCCGGCCTGCCACTTCGACGTGCCTGGACCAAGAAGCAGGAAGAGATCACCCGAGCGTGTGAACCCGCGTGCACGTGGCGATGCGCACATCCTTGGTGTGTGTGCACGTGAAAATTTGTGAGTGGGAGAGCGAGATTATACACCCGTGCACGCGCCAGGGTCACCGGCGATTGGATAGGGGTGAGGCACTGGGGCTTGCGGTGGACTCCGCTTCCCCGAGGCGAAGGGGCGAATGGTCAGCCCCTGCAGCTCTGGAGTGGCTTCAACGCTTCGCCATTCCAGAAAAAGTACTCAGTCCATCTGTTCGTAGTGCCTCCGGGAGACAAACAGCAATGGTTAATTAAAACCACATGGTCTCATTCTGTTCCCAGGCTTAGCCTGCGCTCGGCCCAGGCACTTTCCTGGGATTTTCGGGGACCCTCCACAATAAGCAAACTCTGCCACCTTAGGGAGCCTAACTCCCGCAGCGGGGAAACGGCGTGGGTTGGCAGAGGGTGCAAAGACCCGGAGCTGCCGCCTCGGGAGCCCGCAGGAGCCGGAGCTCTGGGCGCAGAGCCCGGGGGATGCGGGTCCGCGGCGCTCCGCGTGCCACCACGTCTCCTCAGCCACCACGGAGACGAGAGCGGTAGCGATTCATTCCAGGAGCGTCATCGCCAACCAGTCCCTCTCCCGATCCCCCACACTCCCTTAAAAGCGGGGACACAAGACTTTTGGATTTTCTTACCCGAACCCCAAGTGCACGCGCGCGCGGACACACACACATACACACACACACACCAACCTCTTCCCCTGAATTACCTAAGAAACTGAAGGTGAACACCTGGAGCAGCCTCATGTCCAGTCCCTGCGACCGAGGGGACATGGCAAAGGAGGGAGAACTCGTCCGCCCAGCTGCCTGCCTTTTCTTCCCGTCTTCCTTTCTGGAGAGGTAGAGGAGGGGGAACAGGCAAATGTTCAGAGAGAGAAGAGGGGCCCTTCCATTTCCTGCCTCTCCCACGGAAGCGGGGGCTGGGCCGGGGAAGGGGAAAATCGCGCAGCCACTTTGTTCTCACCGTGAGCTCTGCCGCAGCTCCAGGCAGCCCTCGAGCCCAAAGAAGGGAATTAGAAAGTTTAGCCTTGGGAGGAACCGAGGGAGGCGCCTCTGCTCATGCGCACACGCCGAGCAGGGGCCGAGGGGGCGGGTGGCGGGAGGCCACCAGTTGGCTAGGAGGGGGGTGAGGGCCGGGTCCCACCCCCCAGGGGCGTCTCTTTTGTTTTAAGGCCTCGTCTGCCGTTGCTGCTGCTGGCTTTGGGTGCTTCCATTTCCCAGCGTGGGATGGTGGGTTCGCCTCTGGGTGCGCGTCCGGAGTCGGAGCGCGGAGCGGTGGGATGCGTTTGGGCTGGTCCCCGCGGTAGGTGTTGGATCGCCCAGCGAGGGGGGCTGGTCCGACCTACCGCGGACGCCGGCATTTACATTTGTAAGAAGTGAGTCACGAAAAGGTGCCCAAGGCTACAAACTCTCCACCTAACTCTGGGGAAAGGCGGGTTGGGTTAACCCCTGAAGAAAGTGTCGACCTGTCAGGTTTATTCTTCAGAACTGACATACATCCCCATCCCCGCTCCCCAGTACCAAAGAGTCAGAGTTTGGAATGGGCGCGACGTGCACAGTGTCTTCAAACCAAGGAGCGAATCTGCTATTCACTGTGAGTTCTTTGCGCACACGTTTATTCAGGACAGGCCTACAGTCCCTGCTCTCCAGGGGCTCATAACACTGAATTAACCATCAAACTTTCTTTTTAAAATCTGCTTCTTACCTGAATCCAAAAGACGGCTTTAGTTGAAGCAATTTCTTAACACTATCGTTAAGGATTCCTTTTCCCATCTCACTCTGGAGGGGTTGACACAACCAGAAAGCTGGAGGTCTTTCGTGAGACATCCTTCTCCGTAATTTCTACAAAACACATCGCGACAATCCTAGAAAGGAACCCCACAGTATACAAATGGAGAGGTGGGGAGAGGGCCCTAATGAAGGGTTTCTAACAGCACTGTGTGTGGCCTGGCTGGCCAAATGGGGGTAAATTGAAGCTAGCTCATTTGGGGGTTGGACGGGAGAAAGAGGTAGGGGACCAGACCCCACTAGGCTTTCTGAGAATTAACCCACTGCCTTTAGCAGTGGATGGAGTCAAAAGTTGGAGCTTTCTTTAGTCCTGCTCTGGACAAATGTGCATGCCGTGAGAGGAATAGAGTTTGTTAGACCAGTCAGGAGATTTGATTGTTTTCCAGTCATCTCAAGGAGAGGGGATTAAGTGGCTAATTGGTCAGTTTTTAACATAGCTGCAATGAAATAGGGCCCAGGGAAGTTTAATCATTAGACCATAGAGCAAGCTGCTCTATGAGTTTATAAACACGCACTAATCGGAGGGAGACATTAATTATTCACCAAATCAGCACTTGCTGGTGCAGCTGGGGGAGATTTTGCCTCTCTGAAGCTTGGGATCCTTGGTGCTGGCTGGGCTCTGAGAAAATGGTGCTGTTGTGAGGGTCTGATACTGCAATGAAGGGTCTGTAGGGATTAAAAGAACAATATTAAAAAGGCAAACTTCTTTTTTCTTGTTTAGCTTTTAATATCCTGGACCAAAGCTTCCTATTACACTCTTCATCCACACGAACTGCAAGCACTGTTCATTCTTTCCCTTTCCTGGCCTGGACGGAGCCCTTTGCCACCTGTCCCTGGCCAGTGTCTTCTTCCCTTACAAAGGACTAAGCCTGGCTGCTCTCCTGACCACCTCACTGTTGTGAGTACATTTAACATAACTGAAAATTAGAGGGTTTTAAAAACTTGCATGGGGATGTGTAGGGGGCAAAGCGTGTGTGCCACTTGCCTTCTGACCACTCCATCTATAAGTTCATCTACCTCCAATCCCTTCTTTACCTCTTTACTTCTCTCCTAGAAGTGTGCACTGTTCTCACACACACAAACCTGCTCATTTCTCCCATCTGAAGTAAAAACAAAACAAGCCCTACCTTTATTCTGTGCACCCTCCACTCTTCCCCTCCTAACATCACAGCCCAGCCTCTTACCAGGGCAGTCTGCACTTAGGTTGTCTGCTTCCTCTGGTCTCCTTCACCCACTACAGTGTGGCTCCCATCCCCACCATTATTCTTGGTCATTGCCCCATCCCTCTAGTTGCTGAAGGCAATGGACATTTTCTGTGGCCTTGTTTGATCTCTTTGTGGCATATTCTTTAGACAAGCACTCCCTCCGTCTTCACACTCCTTTCTTGGCTTCCAGATCACAGTTCCCCAAACTCCCCACTAGAGTTTGACTCCTTTTCCATTTCTCTTGTCTTTCTTCGATCTATTAAACTTTTTCCTCCTAAAAGTTCTATCTCTTTCTTCTGTCTTGACACATGCTTACCACATCCACCAACTGGCCTTGTCCCCCATCCCTAACACCTGTATCTGTATCTTTAGCCTGTGCTTGGCTTGGAACTTACATCCATTTTCTGATAGACTATTGGATAGCTCTACTTTGATGACACCTGAAATTCATGCAAAACTGAACTCTCTCCACCCACTCCTCACAGAACAAAACGAGCTCTTCTGTTTTCCACTTCAGTTATTGGCATCACAATATACCCCTTAGCTCCAGAAAACAAACAAACAAACAAACTAAAAAACCCTAGGAACTGCCCTGGTGACATGAGTATCAGGACACAAATGTGGAGCCCTTTATTATTCATAAAGACAGTGACAGGCATTAAATCTAGCACACCACCTGAGTGTAACTGTACAAATGATACATCCATGAATCCAGCCCAGCCTCTTCTTTACCCACTCCCCCCAGTCTGCCACCAGGCCCTGCTGTTTCTACTTTCCTAGCAACTAGCTATTATAGCCCCATTGCTCCAACCTCACTATCCTGGCGTCCTTAGTTCCATCTCTCCTCACCTCTGGTCTGAATGCCTGCAGAAGTACCTGGCTGCTGTTCCTACCTTTGGACCCTCCTCTCTCCAGTCAGTAGCACACTAACATCCCCCTGAAGTTTCCAGAGGTTCAGCTTTGATCAAAAACCTTCAATGGTTTCCCGTTGTCTTTATACATATTTTATACCTTTACGACATTCTCACTATTACATGAGACCTTCTTGATATGCTCAACGTAGTGGTAGTGGGCTGCCATACATCTTTGTAGCCTCCACTTAAACACAGCTTTTTACATGAGCCTAACTGTCTTTCACTACCTTGTAAAAGCCTGATGTAGCATATATGACACAATGCTGTAACTATGTGTTTATGCCCTTATCTCTCCCAGGAGACAGTAAGACAAGGACAAATATTGTGCAACATTCATTTTTGCATTAACATTGGCTAGCATGCCAGGAGGCACATTATAGGTGCTCAATGTTTCTGAATCAAAATAAAGATAGCTTTATGTTTACACATCTTACTCTAGTCTTAAATGTCCACTTTCTAACTACCTAGTATGAACTTCTTTCTAGACAAGGAGAAAAAGAATCATCACTTCCCATTTTAGGAATATTTCCAAACTTTACAAACAAATTCTTCTTGCTTGTTGTATTTTATATAACTTTCTTGAGTTTGGAAGATATTACAAGTTTAGGAGAAGTGAATCTCTTGTTAGTAAGCCTGTCCAGGTCTTCACTCTAGCTGGTGACACCCCTGTCTTATCCCTCACTTGAACTTAACCTGGCACTACCTGCTTCCCCATGGGGTGGTCTTTACTGGAGAGTTCTGCATTTTGAATAGCAGATGGGATTGCAAATTATTGGTTGTTATGTCTGAAAGAATGCAGGACAGTTTTCTCCCTGAGGCATTTATTATTTTGTTTGGGAAAAAAAAGCAAGATACATTTTCAAGGTCACCTTCATTTTTAAAGTCTTCAAATGCTGTGTATGTGTGTCATTTTAAATTCGTTAGATTGTAGGCTTTGGTGTTTAGGTCCTAAACCTGGCTTTTTACATAACGTTGCTATTGTGTAAAGTATTAGATTTTTGCTGTTTTTATCAGAAGTGTACTTTGTGAGATTCAGAAATCATCACACACACACACACACACACACACACACTTCCTGCTTTCTTGACTTTCTTTCTAGTTAGAAAAAGACCACCTGACTTAGTTAATTTTAGGAATACTTCAAAATTTCACTCATGGACAAATTCTTGTGTATTTCTTACAACTTCCTTGATTTCTGAAGCTGTTACAAGTTTAGTTCAAAGGACTAGCAGATTTCAGGACAAATGTCAGAGCACTTGTGTACATACACCTTTTATAAGATGTAGGACGCTAGCTTATAGTTTTGTATTAAATGTTCTTATCGCTAGGAACTCTTTGACAGCAAAGACTATTTTGTTAAACTTTGTATTCTTGCAGGGGCAGAGTTTCTAGACCACGATAGGCCTTCAATATTGCTGGGTGAATGAATAGATTACATGATCCTCTGTAAGGGATTGCACAGGAGTCACTATTGTTATCCTCTACAATATGGAAACCATCAGGGCCGGAATCAGGAAGGGGTGTCTGGCATTTTATGTCTTAGATCACATAGTAGAAGCCGGTATTGGGCTGTGATAACACCTGCTCTCCTTTTATCTGGTAACACCCTTGGGTTTTTCCTTGAGTGACCAGTTCTCTCATATTTTCAGTCTAGCTATTTTGGGTGAGGCTGTTCTCTCCATGAGGTTAATCAGTGCATTTCCATCTTCTTTTCTCCAGTGATTGGTTCAAGGATAGGTTTGAAACTCAAATTTTACAGTTAGTATGATTATGGGAATGTTGTGTGAATTCCCAGCCTTTTTCCCCCTGGACTTGGGGGAGGCTTCTTGAGACTGAAGCCAACACAGAGGAAATCAGAAAGGTGGACCTTTTTGTTTGTTTGTTTTTCGTGGTACTGGGGTTTGAACTCGGGGCCTACACCTTGAGTCACTCCACCAGCCCTTTTTTGTGATGGATTTTTTCGAGATAGGATCTCACAAACTATTTGCCCGGGTTGGCTTCGAACAGCAATCCTCCTGATCTCTGCCTCCTGAGTAGCGAAGATGACAGACATGAGCCACCAGCACCCGGCTAGAAAGGTA